TGAGATGATATACACAAAGAACCTATCATGGTGCCTAGGACAGAGAATGTATTTAACAAATAGTAATGAATAATAATAATAAAGAATACAAGATGAATAATGATAAAAACTAAGTCATCAAGATCCATGTTAGTTAGTAATCGCAGGTTAGCATAATTCCAAAGGCTGTGCATTAACCACTTTAGGAAGTGGTCTATACTCTTCTGTGTCTGGTCTCCTTCAACTGGCATAAACCAATAGCTATACACCCCCTATTTTTATCAAAATTAAACAAAACAAAACTTTGATCAATAATAGGTTTAAACTATGCAGTAAAAATATCTTGAAAAAAGTAGTAAAACCTATACCGTATTAACATCTATCCTTTACATTATATTTTGTAAAGTATACATTAAGAAAAAACACAGCTGTATGACATACGTGGTAACTTAATCTGATTGACATATGCTACATTTTAAAAAAGACTGTGAACTAAATTGTCATGAAGACCAAGATAACATTGATCTTAGGGGGTTTGATTAAATCGATGCATGTTTTTGCTTGTTTTTACATTTTTACTTGAAGAGATTGTAGTATTCAAGTTTCAATAATTCGCGCAGCATCACTTTCAATATTGGAACGGGAAAATTTTTCATCTGACCAGTATAATAACTCATTATATATTTTCTCACCTTGAAGTAATTTTTACCATCAATAATTTTTAAATCAAAATCTTCACTGTTGAAATGCTTTCAGTCATTCTGTGTAGGAAAGCGATGCGTGGAATTGAACATTTTTCGGGAGATTTTAGTGCTACTGGAGACTTCTCTGGTGTTTTCAAGTACTACGATATGACAGATGTATTCCAATACATCTTGTCATTTCTCTGAAATTGTACTTTTGGTTTTCTCAATCAAGCTGGGCTTGTCAATAAAGCTGAGCTTGATATCTCAAATCCTTCAAACTGCCTTTTAGAGCCACAAAGCCTCCAATTATCTATGTATCTTGGGCATTTCTCTTAGTAAACTTAGATCTGTATCATTCTGCTGGAGAAAATGGATAGGCCACTCTGTAATGGTGGTATAATAAAGACTTCTATCACAAAGAATAAACAACTAAATGAGCAGCAATAAACTTAATTTGCACATTAGATATGCTTTTCCAAGTTCCGACATTTCAGTTGAAAATAACACCGAAGCAATGAGGCCTATAATTGAACATCCAAAACTTCTCCAGTGGGGAAACAGAAACAAATGTTGCCTGCAAACAAGATCATTTTTATAGCCTGCTGTTACTCAGTTTTTTAATAATTTTCCAAATGCCAGATCAAATAATTTCTCCTTTTATGTGATTTTCATATACCTCTTACTAAATGTACACATTGTAATTTTAATCTCAGTCCTCCAAAATGAAAACACTTAAACTCTCTTTCCTCTTGATTCCTTGTTTGTGCCTATGAAACATGTCCTCAAATTATACTGGGCATCTTCTGAGGCACTGGAAAGACTGCTGCTAATTGCACTCACAATGTTTGAATGGAAAATTGCTTTGTCCTGCTGCATTAGTGAAATAGAAATTTCCAACATACAGTGCAGAAAGCTTCAGAATCCTCTTAACATAGATAAGCCATATCAGCTAAAAACTAAGCTGGAAAATATCTCACTCTTGTAACTATTATCTTTTCCATGTTATCTAACAACAACATTTCTTGCATGACTGAGGCTGATAAGTAAATTCAAAGGGAGATGATTGTTTTATCAGCTTTATGGAAATTTCTCATTTGCTCCTTAACACTCTATTACTCTTAAGGTCACTATACACTGATTTTGGCTTGAGAAACAAAATTATATTTGATTCTGTAACAACAATCAGATGAATATTACTGATGAGAAAATACACACACACATACACACAACCATTAAGCCATCTTAACAAACAACTAGATGACTATACACCCAATAGTCAAGAAAATGGTTCAATTGATGTACACTATTATAATTTTTTCCTATGCTAGGCTTCAAATTTGTAGGTTGTAAAATAATAATTCCTTGGCAGTGATGTCTTCAACATTTTTACATGAAAGGGAATTGGACATTAACAGTCTAGTTAAGGGAACATGGTAATAATAGACTTAGAACTGTGCTTGTATGACAGTCACACAATTTAATAAAGATTAAACATTACAGATAAATAATAAAGCAACGTTTTTAAGGCTGTTTTTCTTCATACTGTACACACATTTTGTGTTTACTTTATTTATATGTATTTGGGTAGTTAAGTATGTACATGTTTATATTGCATAGGATAGGTCTTGTTAATGACAAAGAAGCAAAAGACCCCAAAATCCACTTAAAATGGGCTGTGGATATGTCATGAAGGTTAAAATATAACAAAATTTCCTTCCCATTATTAGGTGTAAACGCATGAAAGTAACTTGATAATCATGTATAGTGACATCAGTTACATTAGCATGTACTCTTTTTGCATATGTAAGTTAGTCTCCTGTACTGTGCTAGAAACACCAAAACAATGAATTCTCTTCATAAACTTTTGGATTTTGATGTAGGTTCAGGCTTGTACCCCCTTAGAAGTGTGAGGTGATCGATGTCTGTCAGAAATATAAGATTACAAACATTACCATTGGAAAGTGAATGCATGTAAAAAGTTTGGTAAAATGTTCTTTTTTTGCAAAGTGTACTAAGAAGCTCAGACCCTGAAAAACTGAAAACTGTCAGATTTTAGAGCAAGGAAGCCAGCATGAAAAGTACCCCTAGGAACTAAGCTGTATAAGATAATAGCATTTTATTAAATCAATAAATATTTACTGGGCACATACAGTTCCCGGCAAGGTTCTAGGACTTATGGTTCATCATTGATTAAAACAAAAATCCCTGCCCTCTTTATGCTTCTGTTCTAGAAGGGAAAAAAAGACAAAAATCCACAAACATAATAACTAAGTCAGTTACACTTATCTCAGAAGATAAAAAGGGGTATGGAAGAAGAAAGAGTGGATCTGACTAAGGTAACAAGGAATGCCGAGTGGGATAATTTTGTTTCAACAACCTCAGCAAAGGACACTAGAAATGAACAAACAAAAATGTAAGTCAGTTTTTTCTTTTTTTTTAACTGCACTATCTTGATTAATTATTTTTTTACTCATGGAAAGAGCAGAGTACCTGGGGATTATGGCGTGATTTATGGAACTTATTTCTATCATAAGAACTAGAAAACTAACTTGCAGAAAACATGGCTATATTACACATCTGAAATATGCAAATGTTACATCCAGAATGCAGTACAGTGGCTTTCGAGTTTCTCAGTTAATATTTTTGTTAGTCGTCAACTTTTATTTTTCTTTCATCAATTATCAGTGGACAGTGAGTATTATGATGTCAAAAGTTTAAGAAACACTGGAGGAAGAGTGCCTATTCATTCTGTTCAATCTATCCATTAACTTTTGTTTTTCTTGTCCTCCAGAGTGAAGAAATCCCCATCATTGTATTTTGGCAGCAAAACCATTGGCCCTGCTCCCAGATCGCCAGTATTCTAAAGAAACTCTCTTTTAAAAATGACATTGCTACTGCTGGTATTTTCTATCCTTTCTATTTCATGTTTTAATGCCCTCTGCATTTTTCCATACCTAGAAGATTTAACTGCAATGACTTTTTATCCTTCACCACATTTTAATCTTCTGCTGTAATAAAATTAGTGCATACTACCTACACCTTCTTAATTTGAAATGATGTAATAAATCTCTTTTTTCCCCTTAATGAACTTGTTATTTTTTCAAATATAAAGCATCCACATTTTTCAGTGTCTGAGTATTGCCAAAAATTTGCTGGAGAAATAGTCTGTTCTTAAATATAGCCATAACATCTATCTTGAAACACTTAAGTCCATCTCTGTCTTAAAAATTGATGACAATACAATCTTAAGGAAGAGAAGTTTTTCAAAATGTGTCACACTGGTTGGATTTTGACACATCAAGTTTTATCAGTCACATTTCCCCAGAGTACTTTAGACAATTGTCATCCTAATGTAATACATTTGAGACAAGTTGGCAGAAATATCCTCCAGGCTCAAAGGTGGGCGTTTATTTTCCTTGAGATATTTTAAATGATGGTTGAAGTGTAGCAGCTAACTACTTTTTGTTGAATATATTTATTTTTAATGGAAAAGATGAGAAAGCACCAAATGCTGATTTTAATCATTTGGGCTTAATTAGCCGCTTAAACTGCTTTATCAAGAGAGCCATTTTTATTATCCAGGAGGCAATGAAATGATAGAAGTGATACAGCTTCCAGTAAACATACTAGTTTTATGAGCTGAGATTCAACAAAATAAAGCAGCAAAGATAAGGAACAGATACTTCTAATATTAATTATGTCCCTTGGTGACAAATGTAGGAACATTTGGATTGGTACTGATTTAGAAATCTTAAAAATAAACTATAGAATTTATCTCTATAAACTGTATGAGTTTATCTGCTAACTGTGATGAAAATATAATAATGATTCACATAGATTTCAGTTTTTTCTCTTTGAAAAGAACTGCTTATTAAAGGATGTGACTCTGCATTTCATTAGTTTTGTACCTGGAGTTACATAAACAAATTAGCCAGTTAGGTATTTGGTAGCCTTATATACATGTAAATATTTCATATAAAAATAAAGATTCTGAAAGACATTTGACCAAAAAAAATGTTACCCAGTGACTTTGTCAAAATGTCCATGGCCCCTAACATTAAGGTTTATATAAAAAGCCAATAATTTAGGTATAGTTTTTAACTCTAATTATATTCTGACAGCATTTTCGATTGCCAAAGTATTCACATCTATCATGGTATCCCACTGGCAAAGTGTGCATGCTATTAATGAGTATGGTAATGGATCTCTTAAACAAACTGTGAAATCAACTATTTCACATATACAACATGGTACAGGTTTGACACTGTGATACAAGTCATGATACTCCTGCAGATTTACAATGTTCATCAAGCACAAATGAAGATAATGTGATACCTTTTACAATGAGGCTGCCAGCGTTCTTTGCAGTTCCAAACTGATTTGTGGCTATGCATGTATATGATCCAGCATCTGACCTGGTAACATTATATATCTTGAGGCTGCCATCCTCCAAGAGAAACATTCTAAAAAGAAAATACATAATTAATGGAAGTAAGGCTCTTCAACATTGATAAATCATAAGTGCTTATTTTTATTTTAAAACTTTACTAAAATCATGGGTATATGTGATAATATGAATCGATTCCTTTCCTATTATTCTGTTCTTCATTGTGAGCTATCTCTATGTCTACATATTACAATAAATGGCGTTTGCTTTTATTCTGACACAATATTGATAATTATCATTCTATAATTTGAATTATCATTGTTGATTTCAAAGCATATTAAAAAGAAAATCAGTGCTTGATAGTATAATGTCAAGTTGCTTGATGAATAAGAAATGCAACTATATACTGTGTATTTTCCAAAGTCAACTCACTGGTGAAAATTGAACATGGCCTAGGAGAAACGCAAGCTGATTTTCACAATTAGTCTGTGTCTTTTTAAACGTGGTCTGTCTTAGCATTTTTTGTGGCCACACAACAGGATATTGAACCGTGACAGTATTTGCCAGTGCTGACGAGTTGAAGAAACGGTCCATATGGTTCCATGGCCAGAGGGCCATGCTTATTATGTGGCCTATCCCATCAAAAAGAAGAAGGAAGTAGTAGAAAGACTAAGGCTTCATGGGTTAACTATGAATTAATATTAATATTACTAAAAGATAGAGTACGCAGAGGAGGTTTATCTGCCAAAGAAGTTCCCATCTTTCATAATATAATCCATATTAAATTTTCTCTGAAACTCTAGCATAAAGCACAATGCCACTGAAATCAGAAAAAAAAAAAATAAAATATACCGAGGTTTGTTCCCTGAAAAATTCACCATCAAATGTAACAAGAAGAGACCGAAAAAATGTAAAAACAAAAGGATTTGTCCAATTTTAGGCTACCATATTTTATATCTTACAAATGTAGTTACCAACCTTTTAAAAACGTTAGTAGGTAGGATTGTATCAAAATAAGTGACAACATACTAATTTTTAACAACAGTTTTAAAGGCAAGAAAGGCTAGACAATTTGCATGCATGCCGTATCCATTAACAATAACAAAATAGTATTTGCTGCATTGCAAACATATCATTGTTTCTAATATATGTATAACACGAAATGTAGCTGATATAATTAATTACTCAATTTGAAACACAGAGAATACAAGCCAACTACAATTTGTATGAAGCCAGCTTCTTACATTGGATTTATTATTAATAAAAGATTCCAAATTCTGTTATCAATGAGTGGAAGGAGCCACATCTGAATTTAGAATGTTCCCTGGCATGTAATCAGATTTTTTTAAGTCATTATCTTAGAGTATTCCCCAATAGCAGACATTTAATGTCTTATTTAATTTCTGAGATGTCTAGTGTACTAGATCCCAATTTACATAAACAATTGAATTACACCATTATTGACAGAGTAACAAAACTATTCTATTATGCAGCAAACCCGGGCCAAATATAATTCTTTATCTGATTTCAATTAGAAGAGGTAAATGTGAAGAGATAAATTAGAAGAGGTAAATGAGAAGCTTTTGGATGCATCTACCCCTAACATTTAGAAATAACTAGGAATTTTGAGCAACACAGAAACCTGGACTATTGGCCAATAAAAAAACACACGACAGAAATGATATGTCTACTGATATCTAAAGGCCACCAAGCAGATTTTCCAGCCACTAAGTCAATGCCAATGTTTATATTTCATATGATTTTTCACACAACTTCCAGAAAGGGATAATTCTTGTGTGCAGTGGTACCCTGAGTATACTACCCCTTTCAGGCTCAGTAGGTCTTCAATGTTTGCTAAATTGAGTTGAAATTGCCATCATTGAGGCTGATTATTTCTTATGAAATTTTAATCAATACCTCAATATTCCTCAAGTGCTTACTACTGTTTAAGGTACTGAGAGAGTAAAGTAAAAAAGTTAAAATCTGCCCTAGACTAACTAGCTAAGTAGCAGAGAATGCAATTATATCTAATTATCCTAGTACTCATGCTTTTTCCAGAGCCTTTACTTTGCCTTACGTTTAGTAAAACAATTTTGCATGTTAATTATATGGTCCAAGAAGTTTCAGCAGAGTCATCACTACATGCCCTAAAGATACTCCATGTGTTTACCCCTCAAAATGTGGTCTTATCCCAGACCTAATGAATCAAACTGCATTTTCACAAGACACCCTATGCACTGTAGTACATACAGTGACTCGTATGTACAATAAAGTTGGAGAAGTATTGATCTATTTACTATTAAACTTTAATCTGAAAAATTTTTCTTTACTTCAAAGTAAGACTACATCTTGCTTATGATCTTATGAAAATAATTTATAAAAGAATAATAACATACATTTTAAATGTTTTATAAAATTAACCAAACTAGTAAACAAATTGATTATGATTTATTAAAATAAACTTTAAAAATTCTCTCTGTTGATGTACGATATAGAAATTCAAAGATGTAATCATAACTAAAGATTTTATGGCATAACAAGCAGTACAGATATTTGAATGTATCACTTAGATTTCTCCCTTAATTATTAAGAGATATTAAAATATAGTAAAAAATTAATTAATATAAACAGAATCAAACAACTTGATCATTGTCTCAATTTTATTAAGAAAAAATTAAATAAAAACTATAAGATTAAGAATTTCCAGTTTTTTAACGTATCTAAACATGTCTTAACAGAAATGATTTAAAAAAAACAAAAAGAAGGAACACTCAGTAAAGATCAAACTGTACCGAGCAATTGGCATTTTCAGATAAGGCAAAATGCATGTGTAAGAATTAACTGGAACATTTTAATTGATGCTTTTGGTAACATTCATAGAGAAAGACTGATTTTTTCCATTCTTCTGTTAGAATATACAAAAAAGATACTTTATCTCGAGGATTGGTAATAACATCTCAGTAAAAGATATTAAAATATTCTACCTTCATTTACTTCTCTGGCATTTAAAATAAAAAAACACACAGTCAGAAATAAAGATAAGCCTGACTATTTGTAAAAAACAGGAAAACCTGATAACAAAAATAGAGATTTGCATGAATAATTTGTAAAAAGCATATAGTTATAGGGAAAAAAGCAGAAGGTAATACCATGATTACATATATGCATATTATTATATGAGGATTTAAGGTTGAAGTTATACTACTAATCTACAATGAATAATAAAAATATGTATGGAAATTTGTGAGCACCATGAAATGATGGAAAGGCTTCCAAAAATTCAATAGCAGTTTAAATACATGATTGAAAGTGGAGCAATGTTAAGATATTTTTTCCTTCTTAATCAGCAAAGACTTACTAAATGTCTACTGTGTTTGAAACAGTATGTTAGGTGTTACAATGGGGATGTGAACATAAAAAGTGTTAGATGTAAAAGGTACTCTTTTCCACATTAAAACTCATTGTTATGCATTTATGGAGGTTATGACTTATTATAGGGGGCTGACTCTGCACAGGCCCTCTAGTAAGTGTGTAATAAATGTTAACTCATCGAATGCTTAAGACAAACTTCTGGGCTAGTTATTGTTTGCACCCATATTTTATAAATCAGGAAAGAGGCATAAAGAGAAGCAATAAGTGACTCAAGGTACCCACTAGATGGCGGAGGACTCAGATTCTAACCATACCTTTCTTTAGACCGGAAAACACTTATTTTAGCAAGTTCTCTTTCAGTTCATTTCTAAAACATAGTTTACTGATAGCAGAGTTACTAAAAGCAGCATAAATGCAATCTATATGTGTATGTACATGTGTGTGCATGTATATATATACACATATAATTTTATTTTTATAGAATGACCTTTAATATTGGAGATTTAAAATCTGACCTTCAGAGTCCAATAACTCTCTAAAATGTGAAGGAACATTTGTGTGTGTACATGTATATGCATTTTCTCAAGATTCTTAGCTTATGTGGCATCTTAAAGGCAGGCTTAATATCCATTCCCCTGCTATGGAAGAGAGTTTTCACCATAAGTATCTTAACACGTGAGGCACTAATGATGGTCATGCTAATACTAAGGATTTTTTTCTTCTTTTCTTGTGCCATCCTGTGCAATTACGGTATAATTAGCAGAGTGGATAACAACGTGGGCTTTGAGGTCAAACTCCTTATGACTGAATCTGAATCCCAACATTTGATTTTTGTATTACTGGGCCAAGTTAATTAATGGCCCAAGTCCTTGTTTTTTTTTCTGGGTTTTTTTTGTTGTTGTTGTTTGTTTTTTTTGTTTTGTGTCTATAGCATAGAAATACTAACATTACCTGTGTCAATAATTGATATAAATAGTTCAAAATGCTTAGCACGGTACCTGACTCCATTAGCAGTCAATAGGTAGGCTTTTAATGAACTGATTTCTCATCCTGCTTAAGAATGTAGGCACATCTACAACTCCATGAGGAATAAACAACAAGGAAAGAAGAAATTGTTTTATCACACTGCATTTTGAACAAAGAGGCCTAACTACTATATACTGGGCTTTTTGAAAGGAGTCTAATGCCAGCAAAACTGTGCTCAGCATTAAGTTTCACTGCTTCAAATCCTTCCTTGAATTCATGCAACCTCTTGTCTGTGTTCTTACCTACTTAATCTTTTTGATCTACAATGCTCTAATTTTTATTTTAGGAATGATGATGTGATTGTTGTGAAAGTTAAGTTAATTAAATGCTAGATATTAATCTAATTCTTATTCTTAGTTGATATTAATATTTGGTATTTTCTCTCCTCCAAGACTTCAGTTACTATTTCTGATTCTCACTCTGTCTGTTGCTCATGCCTAATGTCTTCTTAAAATTCTTGCCTATGGCTGGACTCAGAAGTATGTTTTGTGGCTTCAACTAGCTCCGGTTGTCAGTCCCTAGACTCTCCTTGGTTTTGGCATCACCAAATTCTGACATTTGACTTATGGTGTTGGTATGTTTCCTCCTTATTTCCTCAATAAGTTTAGTAATAACACCATTTCGCTCATGTCTTTATTCTCTAATATCCACCTAATTAGAATATTTTAACTGTTCACA